ATTGGCTAAGGGTTTGTCAATTTCATTTAATCTTTCAAAGAACCAATTCTTTGATTCATTGATTCTTCTATCGTGATTTAGTCTCCAGGGTGTTAATTTCTGCTCTGATCTTTATAATTTCTTCCCTTGTATGAGGTTTTGATTTAGCCTGCTCTTCTTTTTCTACAAGTTTGAGGTACAACATTAAATTGTTTATATGTGTTTGCTGTGTTTTCCTTATATGGGTATTTACTGCTATAAATTTTCTTTTTAAGACTGCTTTCATTGTGTCCTACAAGTTCCAGTATGTTGTATTGTTGTTATCATTCAGCTATAAAAACTGTCTTAATTTCTTTAATTTCATCTGTGACCCATTGGTTGTTCACTGGTGCTATTTAATTTCCATGTATTTATGAACTACTTCTGGTTTTCCTTGTCATGGATTTCCAGTTTCATTGCACTGTGATCTAATAGTATGCATGGGATAATTTCCATCCCTTTGCATTTACTTAAGTATGTTCTATAAGTCAGTATATAGCCTGTTTTGGTGAATTTCCCGCTTGCAGCTGAGAAGAATGTGTATTCCAGTGTGGTGGGGTGGAACACTCTATAGACATCTAAGTCTATTTGTTCAAAAGTTTGATTTAGTTCTTTTTTTTTTTTTTCACCTGAAACCTCTTGAGTGAAGTTTGATTTAGTTCTAATATTTCATTATTGATTTTGTCTAGTTGATCTGTCTTTCTGACAGTGGGGTATTGAGACCTCCTAATACAATTGTATTAGGGCTTATTTGATTTTTCATGTCCATTAGTATTTGTTTTATACAGTTGGATATACTGCTATTTATGGCATATATATATATATATGATTATTACCTCTTTTTCTTGGATAGTTCCCTTTACAAGGACATAGTGACTTTCTTTATCTCTCTTAATCAGTCTTGGCTTGAAATTCACTTTGCCTGCAAATAGAATAGCTACCTCTGCTTTTGTCTGGGTTCCTGTTGCATGGGCTATTTTTTCTACCCTTTGACTTTCAGTCTATGAATTTCTTTTTCAATAAATGTGTTTCTTGTATGCAGCCTGTATTTGGATCTTGCTTCTTGATCCATTCTGCCAGTCTGTGTCTTTTGACTGGTGAACTGAAACCATTAACATTGATGGCTGTATATGTATTGACTTGTCCTTGTCATGTTATTTTCCTTTTGTTGTTCTTTTTTCACCCTCCTAATTGTTTGCCTTCCCTGGTGGATTCCTTCTGTTGGGGTTCATGGAGCTGTAGTCCTTATTATCTCTCCAGAATGTCCTTCAGAACATTTTGCATTGCTGGTTTGGTGGTCATAATTTTCCTCAAATGTTTTTTATCAGAGATGTATCTTATTTTTTCATCAATTTTGAAAGATAGTTTTGCGGGATATATCAGTCTGGGTTGAAAGTTGTTTTCCTTTACAACTTCTAGCTCTTCTTGATTTGAGAGTTTGTGCTAAGAAGTCAGCTGTGATTCTGATGGGTTTTCCTTTATGGATGATTTGTTTCTTTTCCCTAACAGCTTTTAAGATTCTATTGTTGTGCTGAATTTCTGGAATCTTGACTATGATATGTCTAGATGTAGATTTTTTTATGATCATTGCTAATTGGAGTTCTATATGCCTCATTTATTTGTATGTCAAATTATTTTTCTCTCTCAAGAAAGTTTTCTGTCACAATGTCTCTGAACGTGTTTTTAATGTCATTTGTGGTATCTCCTGCTTGTTCATTGACTCCAGTTAATCTTAAGTTATTCTTTGTCTCATCCAGCAGCTGCTGGCTTGATTTTCATGGTCCCTTGCTCATGTTGAGAAATCTTTCTTTTCCTGGTCACTAACTGCAAGCCTGTCTTCAATATCTGAGATCCTGTCCTTACATTATCTTAATCTGCTTAGAATACTTTCAATAGAGTTTTTATTCTTCTGGTTATCTGCTTGAATTTGCTTTGTGGATTCCATTTCTTTCCTATACTGAGCTTCCATAATTTGCTTAAGCTCATCTATTTTTTTCCTATGCTCCAACATTGCTAAACATGCTGTGTATTTTGGTAATTTCTGTAGTTATCTGAGAGATTATTTCAGATTTCATTTTGTCCAGAGCCTCATTCAATTTCTTTGTTGCTTCTCCTTCAGAGAGCCCTGGTGAGGGCTTTCAGATTGTTGCATCGCGTTGCCCTCTGGATTTGCCTTTGGTGAACTGATGTCTGAGGTTGTATTTTGCTTAAATGTCTTCTCATTGTATTTTCTATTTTTTTTTTTAGTTTAATTTCTGTGATGATTCTTGTAAATTGCCTGTGGTGGATTGCTTTGTTGGTAGTATTTAGGACCCTTAGGTGATGATTACTTCTCGGAGGTATCTTCCAGGTGTACCTGGTTTTTGGGTTTTGAGTCTGTTGGAAGGTCTTACCTCCTCGGTTGGAGATGAGAAGTTGTTGCTTGTTTGGCCCAGTCCCTGGTTCTTTGGCACTGTGCCAGCATGTTTGCTATGACCCTTAGTTAATCTCAGTCATGGATTATGAGGATCAACAGCTTTTTAGAACAATTATGTTAATTTTGGCTATAGTGGTTCCAATAGCATCAAACACAGCTTAGGAAAAAACAAACTCAGCTAAGCCTTAATTTGCCACTTTTAACTGTATGAAGTAGATTTGTGATTATAACAAAATATAAAACAAACAGATAATTATATGCAGTATTTAAGTGCGTAATGTGTCAATGTTGCCCTCAGGGTTAAAATTTAAAATGGATTAAGGAGAAAATAGAGAAATGGAAGTAGAGAAAGAGATTAGAAGTAAGGTTGGAGGAAAAGGGGGATCATGCCAACTTGGGGAAACTGATGCAGAAAATTGAAGGAAAGCGATGGAAGAGACAAAAGGAAGAACAAAACAGAACCACACCCACAAGGAGGTCAGGAACCACTTTCACACTCATAAAAACATGGAGAGCGAGAAAACAACAACAAAAATAAAAATGAAAAAGAAAAATAGCCACTTGCAGGATTTCTCTGGTTTCAGTAGTAGATCTGTGGACACAGAGTCCCAGTGTGTGCAGATCTCTCCCAGCAAGCCAGCAGTTGCTTTTTGGAGTAGTGGATAACCTCAGCAGGCCTTCCCTGAGACCAGACTCATGGACCTCACCACTGTCCATGAAATTTCCACAGGTTTGTGCCCAGCTGGAAGCTGCTAGAGAAAGCCAGCAGCAGTTCTGGGTTCTGGGTTTATCCAGCCAATCTCCAAAATGGCTCCCAGCTAATTGCTCTCTTCCTGCAGGAGGACTAAGTCCTCTGTACTCACCACCAGCCAGTGCAGTCTTCCGCATCTGTGGCTCCTCTCCATTCTGCGTCTCTCTGCAGAGGCCTCTGGGGTCGCCAGCTGTCACCTTCACTATGGCCATGGGTCCCCAGTTTTGAACAGCTCCTCTTGCTCAGTGAGTCCTGTCTCAGGGCAAATGCGCTGCCAGCTATGACCTTCTTCATTGAAGTTTTTCTTTTTACTCTCTCTGCAGGCTTCAGTTCACACTTGAGATTCTTCCTGGGTCTAGGGGATCCACTTCCTCGCTTCTTGTGATTCTCAGCACTCTATTCCATCATCTGGATGATAGTTCTGAGGCTGTTTTCTCTGCTGCCTGTGGCTCTGCCATCTTCCTAGAAATCCTCTCAATTTTTAGTAATAGAAATATTACACATGTGGACATGTGATTGCATGCATTTTTCAAAAACCATTAAGATGGGGCTGGGGATTTAGCTCAGCGGCATAAGCACCTGCCTTGCAAGCAGGCAGTCGTGAATTCAATCCCCGGTACCGGTAAAAAGGAAAAAGACAAAAAAGAAAAAATACAGAAACCATTAAGATGTGTATATGTATGACTCCTCTGTTTCATCCTACTGAATATAAATTTTACCATAGAGAAAATGGGGGAGGGGGATAGAAAAAGGACAGAGAAGAGAGAAGAAAGACTGAAGCTAGCCACAGTGGCAAACCTGTAGTCCTGGCTTACACACAGGAGTTGGAGGCCTTCTTGGGCAACATGGCAAGATTTTGAGGGGTCATTTGTTTATGTTTTATTTTGAGACACGGTCTCACTAAGTTACCTAGCCTAGGCTCATATTTACAATCCACCTGCCTGAGTTACCAGGGTTCTGCGTTTATAGTCGTGTGCCACTATGCCCAGCTGAGACTATTTTCTTTAAAAGATCCTGGGTTCTAGTTATTTGGTTTGCTTTTTGCATTGGTATGGGATAGCGAGTCCAGAACCACCTTCTGTATATTCAAGTTTGAATAAATGAATGAATATTTTGAGGATAATGAAGCCAAGCTTCTTGCTTATAGAAATGAATACAGCAGAAATGAGGAAGAGTGTGGCTTGTGTTGTCAGATTGCTCTCAGAAATGTCAACATGAATTTATGCTGTCACTATGTGTCTATACATAAAGTTTTAAGTTCTGTAGGTATGTGTATGTGTTCGTACAGAGCAGGCTTGGTGGTAGTGACAAACCAGTGATAGTCCTAACTTCACAGCATGGCTGTAATTCCAGATACTCATGAACCTGAGGCTGGAAGATCTCAAGTTTGAGGTTAGTCTGGGCAAGTTGATGACACCCTGTCGCAAAATATAGATAAAAAATAAGGGACTTGAGAGTCAAGTGAGATAGCAATGACTGTAATCCTAACACTTGTTGGCTGAGGCAGGAAGAGTCCAAGTTTGAGTTGAGTGTAGGCTACAAAGTTAAGGCCTCATCTCAAAAAAATAGGGCTAGGGCTGTAGCTCAGCAGTAAAGCACCTTCCTTGCACACACAGGCCCTGGTTTCATGTTCCATACTTCAAAAACAAAAACCTTTCCCACTAAAAGTTATTTCCTTTGAGGAATGCAGGATACCCAACAGAGTACTGCCCTGTAACCCCTAGGGAGAACCTGGGAATACATGTGGGTGAATGGCTTGGGCTACCCAGAGTTAGTTCATGAAGTCATTTTTTTTTTTTTCTTTTTTTCTCCCAGCTGAAAATGTAGCTAAAAAATGGCAAGTGAGTAGAGAAGCTCAAGACAAGGTTGCTGTCCTATCTCAGAACAGGACAGAAAGTGCACAGAAAGCTGGCCATTTTGACAAAGAGATTGTACCAGTTTTTGTGTCATCTAGAAAAGGTAGGTATATAAATGGAGATTTAAACATCAACCTATTTATAGATAAAAGTAGCATCCAAAAGAATAATGTACAGGAATATTTATAGTTTTATTCTAAGTTTTCCAGGTTGCAAGGATCTATCCTAGATGTATCTAAATGAGGGGAAGAGGATGCTATATGTGGCGGGACATGGTAAACACAGCAAACTGTCAGCCTCAGTGTCTACAGCTGCTGTGTATCAGCAGGTTTCATGAGAAACTAGACCTTGGCTTGTGGCTGTTAGGAGGCAACAGCTGCTTTGTCCCCCATACAGACTAACTAAACCTCGTCAGCAGTGAACGTCTTCTCTTCCTTTCTGTTGCTGCTGTGTGTATCTCACATGCATCTCTCTAGAGGCTGGGCCTTCTAGGGTCACTTGTCCTTATCTAATACAGGATGCTACAGCCGCTTTCCTTGCTGTAACTGTGTCCCACCCATGTGAGGCTGGCATTAAGATTTCCTGATAGACTCCCTGGTAGCTTGTACTGTGATCCAAACCTTAGGACGTTTTGAACAATAGCTCCCTGGGACTGCTTTCTTCAGGGAGGGCAATAGATTTAAAATTCAAACTGTCTCATGAGAATAACTCTCATAAAGTGTTTAACATACAGCACATTGCTACAGTAATGAAACTGGGTAACTAGTAACATTTTCTATCAAATGTGAATCGTCATGATTCTGAGACAGCCACCATTCCCCTGCACACTTGCTGACGTCTGTAATAATCTGAGGTAACTGGTTTTTCTTTCCAGGTCTCACTGAAGTTAAAGTAGATGAGTTTCCTCGTCATGGGAGTAACCTTGAAGCTGTGTCCAGGCTAAAGCCTTATTTTCTCACAGATGGGACAGGAACAGTCACTGCAGCTAATGCTTCAGGTTTGATTTCTGAAGGTCATGTGGGACAATGCCGTCTTGCTCTAAGGTCTACCAAAATGTCTTTGTACACTAACTGATTCTTGGGGGCAGAGGTCTCAGTGTGTAGTTCTGGCTGGCTCACTTATGGAGCCCAGAACTCACAATGATCCGCCTGCCTCAGCCTCCCAAATGCTAAGATTATAGGAATGGTAAACACCAGCCCACCAGAAGAATCTTATAGTTTCCCTATATTTGATCATTGACTTCATCTATACTGAATCAGTTTGGTTTCTTGGCATCTCTTCCAGACATATAAATGAAAAAAATTTTTTTGGTACTGGGGATAAGCTCACTACCTTGTGCTTCCCAGGCAGGTACTTGGTGCCAATGAGCTAAACCCCTGGCCCAAAAAAGTAAATTTGAGTACTCCAGGTTGGTTACCTTTGTACTTTTCCTATACCAGAAACTCGTAGTACATGATTGTTCCGTTTCAAGTCTTTCCCCTCCCAAAATACTGTAATTTTTCCACTTTCTGTGGTGAGTTACATGCTACACTTAGCATTTGTAACTGTATTATAAAATCAGCTGAATTGTGGTAAGCAGCTTTGCCAAGACATCAGAATAATGTAATTGGTGTCTTTAGGTAGAAAAGGTACCCAAAGATATGTAACTGAAGCTAATGAGCACTGTAGAAATCAAGCCACTCACATTTCACAGGAATAAATGATGGTGCTGCAGCTGTGGTTCTCATGAAGAAGTCAGAAGCTGATAATCGAGGACTTACACCTTTAGCACAGATCATTTCCTGGTCGCAAGCAGGTGTGGAGCCTTCCCTTATGGGAATAGGACCAATTCCAGCCATAAAGCAAGCTGTAAGTACATCAGCTTTTATCCTGTGTTCTACTGCTAGGAACCACAAAAGCAGGAAAGCAGAACAATAACCTGCATTATTCTACTAAATGCTCATAAATCCTCTCCTCAGACATCCTTTCCATTCCAAGATTCTGTGTTTACAATTTCCTTTTTGCTGTTTTCTCTCCCATCTTTCTCCATAATGAAGAGCAACCAAGAACAGTTGGATCACATTTTTTCACTAGTCCAAGTCTGATGTTTTCCCTAACGTGCACAAATCACTGAACACTGAATGCTAAAAATTCAGTCTTTAGGACTGCTTAAAACTTCTCCTTTAAAGAACATTGTAGTGCACATACTAAACCTTTGGATGGAATTTAATGTCACTAAAAAAAATGTTTTTCACTGGTTCCATCTAGAGCAATCCATAGTGGGTACCAGTTGTTAAGAGAAGTCTTTAGGGCCAGGGATTTAGCTCAGTGGCATAAGCGCCTGCCTGCCAATCGTGAGGTCATGAGTTCAATCCCTGGTTCCAAAAAAAAAGAAAGAAATCCTTTCGTATCATGCAGTTAGTTGTCTCTTGCCAGAAATGAATGGTTTTACTTCAGCCCTCACACCCAAAATCTATGCATTATTTTTTTTTTTAGGTCGCGAAAGCAGGCTGGTCTCTGGAGGATGTCGATATATTTGAAATCAATGAAGCCTATGCAGCACTCTCTGTTGCAATAACTAAAGAACTTGGATTAAACCCAGACAAGGTAAGCATTATAAAGTACTCCTCATAGTGCCAGCTAACTTGTAAACTTAAAAGTTGTCGTGTCAAATTAGGCATTTTCCAGGTTTTTGACTGGTTAATGGGTGAAGAAATAGTACTAAATTCCTGATTGGGAATATTAAGAGTTTTTGAAATTGAGGGGAAGAAAAGGGGAAGAAGATACCAGCTTGTTAGGTAGCTGGGTGGAGAGCCTCTCTGGGAAAAACAGCTCAGATGCTGCAATTTGACAACATGGAGAGGGCTGGACGAGTAGAGAGGGATTCTCATGAACCTAGGAGGAAACTGAAGGAAAAACAAAAATAGGAAGAGGAAGGAAAAATGGGGTGGAGGGCTGGAGCCCGACTCGCTCACTGAGATCCGTCCTGCACTGTGCTGGGAGTGCCATGGAGTCAGACGATTCAAGGTCGCGCTGAAGCCACGGCCACTGATAACTGGAGTTGGTGAGTCCCAGGCCCTTGGCGGGAGGATGCGGCTCAGCATGGAATGGAGCCAAGGTGGAGAGCTGCATTAATTCTTGGTGAGTCTTGGAAATTGGGTCCTGCAAGGGGTGTCGCTGTCTGAAGACATCTTGGAGTGGGGCAGAGCCCAGCAGTCCGGTGGTGTCAGTCGGCTGCCCCTGGCCCAGAGAGGACTGGTGGGATCTGCTTGGGCTGAGTCCTGACCCTGTGACGTCTGCCACAGCACAGCCTAAGTTGCTGAAGGCACTTGCCATTTGATAGGCTCAGAGGAGAAGGGCCAGCCCACAGTCCCTGCATGCACCTCAGATAACAGCAAATTGGAGAGGGCAGCAAAACCCCAGCCAGCACACTTCGGAAAAATCATAAGCATTACAGAGAGAGCCAGAGATCTCCACCACACACCTGTCTGAAAGAAACCGTAAACATGACAAGAGAAGAAAATAAGAGAAAACCCAGCCACTGACCCTGGGAAAATAAGCCCAGGAGAGGTAAATACAGAAGAGATTCAGTGCAGCAATCGTGCAATATTGGCCACAACATCAGCGGACATAAAGAAATACCTTCGTGACCTCATAAATGAACTTAAAACTGAAATTCTAATCCAAGTGATGCAAGATATAAAAAGATTAATTAAAAATGCTAAGTCTCTCTCAAGAAGACACAGATGGGAAGAATGGAGGAACCCAGAAAAGGAAGAGAAACCTTTGGTGAAGAATATAAACAAAATCTAGAATACATGAAACAGATCCAAAGAGATTACCAGGAAACTAAAAATTCCATTGAAAGCTGGCAAAATGCCTTGCCAGAAACTAAAGTTAGCCTTTCAAAACTTGAAAAGAGATTTACAATGTGTGATCATGAAAGAAAAGGTCTCTTAAAAATAACAAGGAACCAGGAAGAAACAATTCAAAGGCTAGAACACAACAAGAGAATCTATAACTTAAGAATAAAAAATGAAGTTCAATCCCCAGTACCGATAAAAAAAAAAAAAGAATAAAAAATGTGAGTGAAGAAGCAGGAGTAACCACAAATGAAGTACAAAGACTATTCACAGAAATAATTAAGGAAAACTTCCCAAGCAAAGGAAAAGGAAATGATATCCAGGTAAATGAGGCAGACAGAACTCCAACCAACTACAACCAAAACAGGTCTACATCCAGAAACATCAAGATCCCAGAAATCTACCACAAGGACAGAATATTAAAATCAGCCAGAGAAAAGAAGATCACCTACAAAGGAAAAATTATCAAAATAATGACAGACTTCTCAACACAAACTACCAAATCGAGAAGAGCCTGGAGGGAAATAGTCCTAACCTTCAACTCAGATTGATGTACCCTGAAAAACTCTCTCTCAAAATTAATGGAGAAATAAGATGTTTCCAAGACAAGGAGGAACTGTAGGAGTTCATGGCCACCAATCCTACCCTACAAAAAATACCGAAGGACATTCTAGAAAGAAAAAAATACCAGGATTCCAGCAACAGTGGCAGAGAGGCCTCAATGAACAGGGCAGACAGTTGAATGAAGGAGAAAAGTGAATAAATAATAGCAGAAAAATAGAATAGCAGAGATGAGGCAGAGAAGGTAGGCTATAATCTTTAATACAGATAGCCTTCGTACACTAACAAAAAGAAACACAGGCAGAGTGGATTACGAGGCAGGATCCATCGAGATGCTTTGAATAGGAAATATACTCAACCTAAAAGAGGGTTAATAAACTGAAAGTCAAAGATTAGAAAACGATGGTCCATGTGACAGGGAATCAGAGAGAAATAGGGACAACTTGTCCAGCAGTTACAGATAGGTTGGAAAGTTTTGACACTTATGTGCAGTATAGAACTACACAGCTAGAAGGAAGGAAAACCTTGTGGCTTTAGTAAGTAAAGGAGTACAGCTCAAGATCAAGCTCAGAGGTAAAAAGGCTTAGCACCAGATAGAGAATGGATTGATCCCCTAATCTAAAAACTAAAGGAGCTAGTGGGACCCAAAATATACAAAGCATCCTGAGAAGGGGAAAAGTGAGGAATTGCCTAAAAAAGGAAGGCAGAGGACATTGTTAATAGTGTATCAGGATTTAAAAGCCACAGGTAGTCTATGACTGATCTTATTTGAAGCTGGTTTGTTAGACCACTGTTTTGCCTTGACTGATTTTATTCGAATTTGGTATGCTTGATAGTGTCAAGTCTAAGAGTAGAGGCAGCTACTCTGAAGATGACAAGATGTAATAAGATACCCATTCCAGTGTGATTATTAACTGCTTTTGAAGTCCTACAATGTCTACAAAGTTGTGTTTTTATTAAAATAGCTATGTAATGCTATGTTCAATTATTATATCTGATGATGTGGACAATTCTATTGAAAATAATAAGAGAAAGCATAGTAACTACTGTAGATCACCTAATATTGTGGTTTTATGTCTTTTTCATGTTTTTCTAGGAATTTGTTTTGTTGTCCTGTTTTTCTTTCCTAGAATACAGAAAGGATATACATGTAGAGACTCACACATGGCGAGTTTCTAAACTATTTATGGGAACAGATTATATAATCACGAAGTAATGAATAGAACTAAGAAACCCAACGCTAATTCTGTAGCATTATGATATGAAATCTAGCAATACTATTATTTACTGTTCAGAGTGTTATTAGTGTAGTCTCTTATGTTCAATTTCAGCATACATAAAGATAAGGACAGCTACTACAAAGAGAATGAGAGACATTATGGCAGTCATTATTGACTTCCCTAATGTCAGGTCTTGAAGACCTAAAAAGCCTTCATCATCCTGTTATAATGAGATTAGTTCTATGGTGTTCGGTATGTATTCAATGTGTGTGAAGGTGGGGACAACTTTTTAGAAGAAAACTAGAGACAGTAAGACAGTGAAGATCTCCAGTGGAGTTGCTTTGAAATCCGTGTTTCTTAATATTGTTTCCTTATGATGTTTTGTTCTGTTTAATCTTACCCTCTTTTAAAAAAAAAAATAGTACTAAATTCCTACTAGGATTCAGTTAACTTGTTTTATTGCTTCCCAAGGCACAAACAAAACAAACCATAAAAACATTAGTTTACCAACAGGGGATTGTTGACTTTTTGAAATTACTTTTAAACTAACTAGGTGTGATACTTTGCCAATTGTCCCAGCTACTCAGGAAGTTGAGGCTCCAGAACAGATAATTGCTAGGTCTGGCCTCAAAAGTAAAAAGGGCCAAGGATGTAGCTCAGTTGGTAAAGTGCTTATCTACCATGCACAAGGTCCTGGATTTGACCCCCCATGCTGTTAAAGAACAAGGGAAAGTGTTCAGCAATAAGTATCACAAAGGTGAGTTTAATCCTAAGCAATTAAGAAATTAAGTTCAATTTGAAAGGACAGTTTGTTGATATAACATAGGAAGAAAAATGACAAATTTAGGTTCTTTCACATATGTCCACAAAATGAATGATCTAAGACTGATCTTGTCTTCCTTCTTAGGTCAACATTGAAGGAGGGGCGATAGCTTTGGGTCATCCTCTAGGAGCATCTGGCTGTCGGATTCTTGTGACCCTGTTACACACACTGGAGAGAACAGGTGGAAGGCGTGGTGTTGCAGCCCTGTGCATTGGAGGTGGAATGGGAATAGCAATGTGTGTTCAGAGAGGATAAATTGCTTAACAGTAATAACAAAGGCAGGCATGGTGGCACACACTTATAATACCAGCACTTGGGATGCTGAGACAGGACTGCTGCCAGTTCGAGATCAGTCTGAACCACATAGTAAAACTGTGTCTCTAAAAAAAAAAAAAAGTAATCACACTTACTCTACATTCAAACCTTCTTTTTTAATCGGTACCAGGGATTGAACTCACAACTGCCTGCTTGCAAGGCAGGTGTTTATGCCCACTGAGCTAAAACAAACCTTTTAAAACTAGTAATGTGAATTAGAGGACCAAAAGAACACAAGCTGTGAGTTTACTGTACTTTAATGTGTAATACTCAAGACACAAGACATTGTACCTAAAATTAATATAAATTAAAGGGAGATCACATCAGTCATCAAGGGCTCCAGAATGTACAGCATCTTCATAACCCCCATGTTTATCGTCTTTACTTTCTGGGTGTAATTTAATCAGATCATCGATTCGAAGAATGGTAATTGCAGCTTCTGTTGCAAATTTCAAGCTCTTGACTTTCACTATGGTTGGTTCAAACACACCTGCTTGCTTGTTGTCTCTCGGTTTACCGTTGATCAAATCAAGACCAATCCTGCAATTAAAAAACCTGGGTAAACGATCTCTTAGAAGTTGATTAAGCAGTTCATTAATTCTCCCTACTCTCGATAATAAGACTAAAGTAGTTCATTCAGATGTGTTACCTTCACTCCACAATGGATTTAACTCTATGTACTACAAAAATGCACTAAAAAATTAAAAATAAATAGTTATGATTGACAAGGGCAGGACTGAGTACCATCAAAAGCCTTGAAATGGTAACAAAAAACCCTAATTCCAAACCCAGCATGCTGACATAGACTGCTAATTCTAGCACTTGGGAGGCTGAGGCAGTAGGATAACCACAAGTTCAAAGTCAACCTAGGCTTCACAGTGAGATCAAGACCAGGCTAAACTACATTGTGAGACTATCTCAAGACAAAACAAAACAACAAACGGAAAGCCCCAATTCCAAGATCACTTAATGTGTCCTGTGTCCTATGAAAACATTTTGCCTAGTGATATCACAACTGTCTTGGTTTATTTAAATATACCGCATGATATTCTCACAAGGGTCAAATCATCTAAAGAGATATTCCTCAGGAGTTGCGGAAGCCACTCCTGACTCTCTAAGGGGAGAGCCTGAACATAAACGTGGCTCATCCTTAAATCTGACTTTCCTGCAAGTACTATGACTCTAACCAGAGAAGCAGGTTAGGGACCAGAGTTTAACAGTCACTGCCCATTGGATAAGCTGTAACTGACCAAACAATAAACCTCTTGTAATGTTTAAATCTTCTGACAAGTCTCTGATTGATATTTGCTGACATTCCCCCATTCCCATTGACCACCATTTCAAATGTTATGTTCCCAATGTATAGAAAGGGATTTTTTTAAAAGTACAATTAGTCATGATAAGTAGATGACAAGAAAAACATAAAGAAACTGTATGCTCACCATTTTAGATTTTTACGCTCTGGGTTAACCTGAGCCTCATTATGAAAAGCCCTTAACTTTGCAACCAGATCTGTGGAGTCTTGAGCAGCGTTCACCGCCAGCGTGTTGGGAATGACAAGAAGAGATCTTGCAAACTCCGCAATGGCAAGCTGCTCCCGAGACCCCTGAGGAGAAAGACAGTTTGGTGTCTCTTCAAAAAATTTGGGAAGAAGAACTCAGCGGCAACTAAGGTTTCAGACAAGGCACACTGATCAGGTGCAAGCTAAGCTCCCAGCCCTCAGAAGTCACTCTTACCATGCTGGTGGCGTAGTTTTCAAGGTATATGGAGAGGGCGGCTTCCACAGCACCTCCTCCGGGAACCACAGATTTGGACTCCAGAACTCTCTTCACCACACAAAGGGCGTCGTGTAAAGAGCGCTCCATCTCATCACACATGAAATCATTGGCCCCACGTAAGATAACTGATGCAGATGTACGAGCCTTAGTACTGTGAAGAGAAAAAACCTGAAATTCTCAGTCATTCATTGCGAGGGCCCCGGTTAACTTCTGCTTACACAGGACCCTGACATCCTTGACCAAACATGTCCAGACCATGCAGAAGAGATGACGTAGCCACTTCATCTCAGTGTACAATGGCCCAACACTACTGTATCCCACGCGTATAACCGCTCATGTCACTGACAGACTACAGCAGCAAATAAATGGGAAGGAAATGTATTCGTCCTTCACAACAAAATCAGCATGGCCTTAGGATTCACAAACGGCTCTTACTTTTTGATTAAGATCAGCTCATCATCACAGATTCTCTCCTGTACCACCTCTTCTGCTTGTCCCAACATTGTAGCTTCAAAAGTTTCTTCACCTTCCAAATTGGCCAACGTTGACAGAATAGTTGCTATTAAGAGAGTTACACCATTAGGAAATAGTCTCATGATGATTTTCTGTTAGGTTTTGTTTTTTTGGTAGTGGGCCTTGCTATTCAGTTCAAGTTGTCCTTGAACTCACTATGTAGCCCAGGCTGGCCTCAAACTCACTGTAATCCTCCTACCTCAGCCTCCTGAGTGCTGAGATCACAGGTGTATATCGCCATGCCTTGTTCTCGTAATGATCTTACCATCATGTTTTATTCTGAGAAACATCTTTAAGTTTTTAATTTTTTTGCTTTTTGAGACTGGGCCTATGTTTAGGTTGGCTTTGAATTGTGGTGCTCCTGCCGCCTCAGCCTCCTAATGGCTGGGATTACAATCATGGGCCACAAAACCCATGGCAAAAGTGTTGCACTATAGATCTCAGGTTTATAGCTTTCCCCCAAAGACCATCATACATATTAACATGAAGCATTTTACCCAAGACCTGGCAGAAGACTTACCTCCAGAAGCTTTAGCAATGCGTTTAAGATCCCTTTTCAAGACTCTTCGAACTGCCATAGCTCCCGCCTCCACGAAATACTTGAGACACATGTCATCAATCCCACCAGTGGTTAGGATAACATTGGCACCAGTTGCCAGGATCTTCTGAATTCTCTCCTTTGTGATATCTGATTCTCTACAAAAGAAGTATTTTAATAACCAAGTTACCCTCTCTGCCTTTTAATAATGCAATTATAACTTCCTTTAGGCATTTTCCATGAAATAGCTGCCGATTAAATTCTATCAACCTTTCTTTCCCAACTTAAAACCTAAATTTAATAGTCTAATTTATGACAAATTTTAAGCAATGAGAAAGCACCACTTTGCTCTCCAAACTCCAATTTGAGTTCTTAATCAACAAGTGTTATGTGAAAACACTAAAAAGACTGCTACCCAAATCTAGTGGGAAAAATGACCAATCACAGTTCTAGGGTCAATTCTATCACAGTGGTATGCAGAGACACCATCTGCCAAGGAGGAGAGGCACAAATCCAGCCCACTAGGCAGGACCAGAGGTTAAGAAAGGGGTGCAGAGTTCAAATTGCAGAACAGAAGATAAAAAACTTGTAGCCCATATTAATGCACCTAGTTGGCTAAAATAGTTGGTAATTGTTTTTTAGCAAAACTGGCATTATTCAATTTGTTCAAAAGGATTTCCTGATGATGATATGTAAAACATACTGGAAAGATGAAAGACACAAAAAGAGATATTAATAAGAGACAAGAATATTGTTAAGGATGACCTATTGACAGGCTAAAAATAACAGTCAAAGTTTATGGCTTAGGTAATGGGAGGTACAGTGACATTTAGAGTAAAATACAGTTTAGGGGTAGGCTGGGAAATCAGGAGTCCTGGGACAATACAGCCTTTGATACGTTGTTGAAGATAATAGGACATGGTAAGGTTCATCAGTGAAATGACCAGTAAAGTGCAATAAAGACAGATTCAAAACATTATATTGAAGCCATGTGAGTAGATGAGACCACTCAAGTTTTTTAGGTCCAGTCATGTGCCACACTCATGACATTTTTTTACAAGACAGCCCAAATATAGAACAGTGGTTCAAAAGATAATGAACCCCTAAAATTCTTCTCTCCTAAGTATGTGAGAGCTGTCCTAACATCATGGTGCCATACATTACTTGTATGTCTGTAGTGATTAGGATACAGGTATAATTCCTGTGCTTCTACTGTATACAGTTATAGCTTAAATTGTCACAGTACACAATATTCAAGTATAATAATAAACCAATGTACTTCTATTTTGTGTATCTGCTATACTAGTCATCCTATTTTATGTTGGGTCCACACTACGTTGCCCATGGCTGGTTGTAAACCCCTTCACTCACATGATCCTCCTGCCGCACACTTCCATGTAGCTAGGATTAAACTCACGCTTCACCACATCCAGATATTTTACAGCTTACTTCTACTTTCCCCTGCCTATGAGCTAGTATGCCAGGGACTGGCAGACTGGGGCTACAAACTGAAGAGAATCATTTTCTCTATTTTCAGAGCTACAATACACTTGGATAAACACATAACGGAAAGTAAACAGAGCACAGTTTAGATCACAGGTGAAAAACCTATGGCATGTGGACTGCAGCGAGCTGATCTGTATCACTGAAAAGTTCAGACTGAGGCAGAAAGAAAATTTCTCTGTGACTGACTAGTTTGGCTACCTCTGCAATTGTCTAGGCAAGAAAATTGAAATTGCTGCATTTAATTTGGAGGCAAAAAATCAAATGGTCTTCAAGAGTTTGGAAGAAACAGGATAAAGTCCATGATTTACAAATGAGTACTGTTCTGGAAGAATGTTCTGCATTCATTTGTATCTGACAAAGTCAGTCTTATACAGCATAGTTATGAAAGTTCGTAACTTGACTATTCCTAAATTGAGGACTTATTCTATTAGGCAGAAAAGAATTAAACTCATTTCTTAGTCTGTTGCCTTGTGGAGGAGTCCCCATTACTAAAAAGCCAAAGTGGACTTGGAATATTTCAAGTTAATTTTAGAATACTGATTTTAGGATGCCTAAAAAGATTCAGTTATTGATAAATGTATGTGTTTAGAATCGGGAACACATTTGGGAATTTGTAACATAAATATCTGAACTCATGGGGATAAATGAGCTATTCCAGGGGAAGTATTATGAGATGACAGCCCAGAGAACACAGGAAAGTCAACATGACCGAGCCAGCCCTCCCCTAAAAGTGGTTTAAGGCAGAAGCAACAAAGGCCTGTTCAAAAGTCTAAGAAGTCTACATACTCTAACACCTGCCCTCCACAGGAGCAAACAGGTAATGAGCAGATAACAAGTGAAGAACCAGTAAACAGTTCTGCGTAAGTCACTCTTATGTTATGCCCACCCCCAGAAATATAGAGGGACAGGGAGCAAGTAGAGTGGCATGTAGGAGAACAGGCCCTTTACTTAGGGATAGAAGAACCTGAAGTGGGCTCATGAGAACGGTTAGGTATCATTGAGAAAGATCAATGAAGCGAGGTGCTAGGACAAAACCCAACCAACAAACAAGACTATGGAAACATTACTGTAGCATTGGTCTTTGAAAGAAAGAGGTTAAAGTATGTGTATGCTGATGGTTAAAAGACCACTCCTAAATCACAGCAAAACATCCTTGTTTAATTCAGCTGTGTGTTCAAACTAATGAAGAAAGGTCAAAAAACAAAATACCTTGAAGCAGAGAATACATTAGTGGTGATCAGAGCTTAGGGGAGGTTTGTACTTGTGTGAGGGGTAAAGAGGGAGAAAGGCTAAAAGGTAGAGTGCTAAGATTAGGAGGAATAATTTCAAGTGCTTAACAGCATAGTATGATGACAAGGTCAACAACTGATAATTTCAAAAAATGAGGTAGAGAGGATTGCAAATGATCCCAACACAAAGAAATGGTAAATGTCAGCGGGGACATATATACCAATAACCTTGGCCTGATCATCACACACTACATACATATATTGAAAAGCCACAGCACACCCCATAAACATATACATCATGTCATATAAAAGTACTGGATCGCTGTTTCATTGTATTTTTTGGAGACAGGCTCTTGCTATGTATTTCAGGCTGGCCTTGCACTCTTGAGTGATCCTCCCTCCTCAGCCTCCTGAGTGCTGGGATTATAGGCATATACCACTATGCTCAGCCTAAAAATAAAACTGTTGGAATGATGTGGGCCAAGTGGAAGTGGGGAGCCAAAATTTCTTGAGCAGTCAAACTATGTTCAAAAACAACTCTCCTGTATGCCAGTGAACGAATACCAGCACCTAAAATCCCTAAACAAAGCATAGTCAATTCTAAACTACTGAGTTCTATACTGCTTCTATGAGGAAACAAGTTCATCATGGCTTTTTTTATAGTGAATTTTAAGACTCAGTAGACCAAAATTCCATAAAAACGCACATTTTCATATGTTACATCACTACAAATCCCACTTAAAATATTACCATATTTTCTAATCTTTCTGGAGCTTATGTAAAACAGTTTGACTTGAATAAAAAGTTAAAAGTCCTCCAAAAGCACTTACAAGCTCACTTTTTCTTGGTATGGCAGGTAGTCATATCAGCACCCCCAGCACTTTGGGAAGCTGACACAGGAGGATCACAAATTTGAGCTTTGAGCCCAGACTGGATGACTTAGCAAGACACTATCAAAAAACAAGCAAACAAATCACCAAAAACCCACAATAAAAACAAAACCTTCATTTCTATAAACCACAAAATCAGTGGTTTTGATAATTTGTTATGTATGAAATACACCACACATTGTTTTGGTTTCTTGTCAGCTGATCCAACACAAGTATATATAATTAAGCAACACTCTCTTTTAAAAGTAAAAATCTCAACATACCTCTGTCTAATTTGGTCCAGTTTCTCGGGGTCTGTAATAACCACCTGTACACCAAGCTTCATTTTTGTTTTCTGCAGGCTGAAATCAAGGCAAGCAATTTTTGCATTAACTATTCTCTTGGGCATGCCTGTAAGAAAGAAAACATCATGTTCTTTTAAATAACTATAGCAATGCTACCGTTCATCAAATATACCCATCCTTGAAATCACATCATATAATAAATAAATTACAGGATACACAACCACACAAATTCAGATTGTAACTTTAGTGCATTAAATCCTGGAAGAACTTAATGGCACTATGAGAACACAATCTCTTTCACTGCACTCATCCTAACATTTTATGTATGCTCAGGTTACAAAAAGTACTGCATGGGAAGTACAAAAAGAGTTGGCTTCAACTGTCATAATTTCACTCTGTGACAAAATCCCAAACTTACCCTGAGATCCCACCACACAGTTGAGTGCATAGCCATTGATGAGCATGCTTTCTGTCTGACTTCTCCCATGGGCTTTTAGAATATTAACAGAATTGACTGGATAGCGAGACTGGCCCCTTGCATCAGTGTATTTAACAGCAAGGACAGCATCCACTACCATATTGGAAAAGAAATCACCATTTCTGCACGAACAATTAAGGATAACAAGACTTCGAACAGAGGGTACACATGAAGAGCGAGGGCAAGTCAAAAGGACTTTCAGCAATCTTATTCACCCAAGAAAAGCAGCACTGTTTGTGCTAAAAAAATCACTAGTTATTATCACTGTCCACACATGCTATTTTATCTTTCTGTTTCAGCCTAGAAATGCAGGGAAGGCAATAGGCAATTCAGTATGCCCTGACTTCTCTCTAACATAGTTTTCAATTTGTAGTAAATTGATATTTTAAGAACTCAAATCAGGTCCATCCCCTGGGACCTCTTCCATTAAAAACACCTTAAACTTCACTGGAACTTTTAAGGATACATTCCAATAATCTTGGAAGACATGGATGTCCTAGCAGCATTAATCAGGCAATCTCTTCCAAGTTCATCTGTGTTAATAATGAGGTTTTCACTGATATAGCGCACTGCTTCCCTGTTGAAAGTGTGGAGAGAAAAATACATACCAATTTGCTATTGAAACCTGTTGGCTCTATCACACTGCACATCATGTCAAAACCCTCTAGGAAATGGTCTTCTGTTCAGCCATTCCATATAGGAGGAGGGCACTGAAAAGCCCTCCCTCTTCAGATCATGGCAACTTTCATCTCTCCCATAAGCATAGCCACTAAAATCTATCACAGGAGAAAATGTGGTAGTCAAATGGGAAAGATAATACTGGCCAATGTTTTTTTACCTTACATGTTACCACATGAGTTTTAAAAGACAAGCTTTCAAGTTTAAAAGGACATCATTAATGAAGACATTAAGACCCAGACTGTTCACATATATATTATAGCCAATAAAATTTGGTTTACACACAATCTTACTTGCAAGCAAGTCGATAGCCACTAATAACTGATGTGGGATGAATTTTCTGTTTGACTAGTTCATCTGCATTTTTCAGAAGTTCTGCTGCAATGATAACCTGTTGGGAAAACATTCACAGGCTTAAATATGATTTTTTGTGCCTGGTTTCTTTTTTTTTGTACCAGGAATCAAACTCATGACCTCCTGTTTACCAGACAGATGCTGTGCCACTGGGCTATATCCCCCACCCACAGAAGTCAAAATATGCCTTACTCTCAATCTGTGCAATGAACACATTAAAATACAACACTAACATGAGTGGGCATTATTAACCAGCAGAGTGATGGTGAGCAAAAAAGTAACAGGGTATCAAAAATAGTGCTCAAGATTCTGTACGCCAGTGGATAAAACCGGAGAGAACCCAGAAAAATGCTGTAACTAGCTCCACGACAGATCAGAACACATCTTTCACCATCAGGTACTCAAGAGAAGCTATATTCCTAACTACTGGTAATTTGTACAATTTTAGACTGTATACTACAGTTCAATTCAAAAACTCTTCTTGTAAGGAACACTAAGACATACTTGTTTGTTTAAAACATTTTTAAAGTTTCAACTTCTTTTGGGAGAAATTACATTATTTAAGTCATTTTATCATTTACTTGGTCAAAGACCATTTTCATATTTTAAAAGAGAAAGCTTCCTTGTCAGGTGACACTTTCTCATGGGGATCTCCTTGAGTTTGAGGCCAGAACGGACTATATGGTGAAACTCTGCCTCAAAAATCCAAAGATAAAATCAAAACCAACAAAAAAACAAAACTAGTCATGCTTATACATATGTACAACATGTCACAGTGGTGATCTGTTTTCACACTCCAATCCTGAGTTCTTGAGATCACCTGTCAGCATTTAAAATATAAAAAGTATCTATTTGCTATAGGAATTTCCTGGCCCTCTATTTGTTTATACTTGTCTAGCCTCACCCTCACAACTGCTGGGATTACAGGCCTGCACCAACATAGCCTGCATTTTCAATTAAAATGAAAATGGTATATATAATCATCTCAAGCTCCTTTCCTACTAAAACTGTTCAAACTATCTATAATTACTGGCTTTTAAAGTTTGTTTCTGAATTATCTGCCAAACAATAATATTAACAATAACATTTTCCTTCTTAATTATTCTTATTTCTGGCCCAGATCAAATGACTCACTTATGGCTATGACTGTGACAAAATGACTCTTTTTTTTTTTTTTTTTTTTGGTACTGGGGGTTGAACTCAGGACCTCATGTTTACCATTCAAGTACTTGAACTACTGAGCTAAATCCCTGACCCCTAAAATGACTATTCTTTAAAGGCTGGCCCACCTACCACTGAGGTAGTTCCATCTCCAACTTCTTTATCTTGCAGATCAGCCAGCTCACAAAGAACTTTGGCTGCAGGATGTTCTACCTCCAGTAACTTCAGGATGGTGGCACCATCATTCGTAATGGTTACATCCTAGGAAGTATGCAATACAAAGTGGTCACATCAATCACCTTTGGGAACAAGATGCCCCCTTAAATCAACATAGCCTCATTATGATGCACATTCAACTTTAACGTATATGTCCCACTACCACTCAGAAAAACAAGTAATTTACAGAGTAAAAACAGTGAACAACACAATAGTTAAATGTACTTACACCAATATCGTCTACCAACATTTTATCCAAGCCAACTGGACCAAGAGAACTTTTTACAATATTTGCAATAGAAGCTGCGGCCATAACTGTAGATATAATCAGTCAAAAAATAAAAAAGAAATAACATTAGAAAACTTTTTCTAAAGAGCAATCATTTATTTCAGCCTAAAGAACTAAAAAACATCCAACAGCTGTAAAGTTTCCAAAACTATGTAAATATGTCCTTTTTATTTTAAAAAATCACCTGCTGTAAGTCTATCAAAGAAGGGTAGCAAATTTCATTTGGAGAGTATTTAACAAACACATTGTTTTAAGGAGCTTACTGCCGCATAAAATACAAAAGTAATCAACCACCAATTACAATGTTATGCTCTGCCTTGGAGGGGGCAGTGACAACCTTTCCCTTCACACTGAAGCAGGTTTTTTTTGTATGGGTGCTGCGGATTGCACGAGTCTCCGCGCTTCTTAGGCAAGGCGTCTATCACTGAGTAACACACCCAGCCCTTTAACTTTGAGATAGTGTCTCTTATAAGTTGCCCATACTGGCCTTTAACTTCCCACCCTCAGCCGGCAGGTTTTTAAAAAAAAAATCCTTAATTACCACAATCTCATTTTTTAAAACACAAATCCAGTGGTCCTAAAGTCAAGATGTTAAATGTTACTTAAAATCTGTTCAAGGGAAAACGAACTTTATTTTTTAAAAAAATAAGGTAACTGCGACAGGTATCAGAACTGATTTGATAATTTTTATTAGTGTTCGCTAGGATAAACACGATTCGCTCACACTCGTATGGAATCGAGCATTTCTTTAACTTAATTCACTGTAAGAAGCTATCAACGGCAGGTTCCACACCAAAACTAGATCTGAGCGAGAATCGGGGCACCAGACATCCACAGTAGATAACCGGAAAGGAGCAGCGTAAGTCACCTAAATTCTATACGCATTTGCCTACGCGCCAAATGTGCAGGCGAACTCAAACGTGTCCTGGCCGATGGTCCCAGGAGGAAGCCCGAAGAGTGGGACAGACGCCCACGCGGTTGGCTTCTCTATAGCCGGGCGGCGGGACGCAGCTGGCACGTGTCTTGGCGGGGGCTCGCTTTACCGGCTGGGGCGCCATCTCTACACCAGCTCGGGCACTCGCGCTCCTCCCGGGGGGGTCTCTGGACTCGCTGCGCCCACTGGCTGACCACGTGGCCGCAGCGGGCGCCGGACCCTTTGTGCTGAGGGACGTAAAGGGGCGAGGCCGACAGCCCAGGTCGAACCCACACAGGCCTCGAGCGCCTTACCGTTCTGGGAGCGGATCGCCTCCCCAGTGCTGCGGTCTCCGAACACGGACAAAGGGCCCTCCATCTTCGCCAGGGTTTCCGCACTAAACCCTGACAACCAGTACAGCTGTCCCCAGGCCTGGAAATAGAGTTGACTGAGGCGATGGAGACGCCACAATGACGCCCAAGGGGCTGCTGGGTAACACAGCGCCTGCCCCGCTCCACCCGGGCCGTCGCTGGCTGGCCGCAAGGCACGGCGGGAAAGAGGGAATGGCTGGGGCTGGGGGTGGGGGTGGGCACGAATCTGCCGGAAATGAGGAACCGGAAAGGCACAGGCTTAGTATTTGTGTGGGATGAGAGATGAGCAAGGAGAGATAAATATCAGGAAGCCGTGGGACAAGAGTCGAGAATTCAGACAGAAAGGACGAGTGTGTCAGAATGTCAGAAAACTAATACATAAAGGTGACTGTGTTCCCTCAAGATCGGCAAGCATGCATAAACTTAAAAGTACATGACCCTAGTCTGCACCCTGCTTTATTTGTATTTGGGTGGGGGTGTTTTTGTTTTGTTTTGGGTGGCACTGTTTGATTTTTGAGACAGGGTCTTGCTCTGTATCTCAGGCTGGGCTTGTACTTGCTATGTAGCTCAGGCTGCCCTCAAATTCCTGACGCAGGAGTGCCACAGGCTTCCAAGTGTCACCACACGTGGCTGGCATTGAGATTTATACACCCTCAGTGGGCTTTGGGCCCCACCACACTTCATGTAAAAACCTTTTGTAAGGGCCGGGGATTTAGCTCAGCGGCTGAAGCGCTAGCCTGACAAGCAGTCGAGCCCCTCTCCACAAATGGATGGGTCGGTCCTCTACCTCTGTCAGTTCTCTACTATAGACTTCTCCGTAATCCCAGGATTTTAAGAGACCCAGTACCTCCCCTATGGGGGCTGGAAGCTCTTCTCACAGACTTTTTCTCAATCCAAGTAGTGTGCCTTCATTTCTTTCACTTACTCTTGTTACTCCTTTTTAAATTTTATTCTTCCTATTGTGAGTGTCCTCAGTTTTTTTGTTTTTTTGTTTTTTTTTTTTTTGTTTGTTTGTTTTTTGGGGTTTTTTTTTTTTTTTTTTTTTTTTTGACATCAAGAACCTGGAAATCACTCCCTCGAGACTTCCATCCCATAAGATTGTCACAGGCAAGGCTCTGAGCATTTGGACACAGTAGTCACTGGGCTGGGTCTGAGGGTCCCTGAGACTAAAGTTGAGGAACTTATCTCATCCCTGCAGAATAAATTTTCAGGTTTGCTGAATCTTATCTCAGAAAAGCAATTTTTAGGACGCATTAGTAAGAGACATAAGGGTTTATCAGTGACTTTAAATGATACTCATTGTTAGGTGGAATTGAGTATATTTAATGGAGTGTCTTTAAGGGGCCATCTAGGATGCGTATTCCAAATGTCTTAGTTACTTTTCTTGTTTTTGAAACAAAGTACCCAACATCCAAGGTATGGATTAAAAACTGTAGGTCAACAACACCAACTGAATTAAATCAGCATAGTGATGAGTGTAGATGACCCACCTAAGGGAAGTTGCCAGCATAAATTGAGATGTGGAGAAGAGCTTAGGCATTGTGGGTTCTCCTAAGTGTTGCTGTTTTGAGCCGTTGGTTCTGAAGGAGCTTGTCATGGCTAACTTCCTCAATATGAGTTCAGCCATTATCATCAGAGAAGCTCAGGACCTTGTCGCTGAGAGTGGCTGTGGTTCACTTTGGGGGAGCTTTGCTCCTTGCATTGAGCATCGCTTCCTGGCTCTGGAGGTGCAGGTGTGTGCTGTTTAATTTTTAGAAGCTTGTCACCCTGGCTTCCTGGCATGTACTCAACTGTTCTCATTGTCAGAGAAGCTTGGGACTTCTCTTGCTGAGGATGACTGTGGAACTTTTCAGGGCAGCCCTGGTCCTTATTTTGAGTGTGACTTCTTGGCTCCAGTGTAGAACCCTCAACTTACTGGTACAGCTCCTTCACCCAGCTGGCATAGACTTTCTAGACTGCACTGCCCACCGTTGGGCTTTCCCAACGCAGATCTGTAAAACAGACTTGCATGAGTCCTTGTCGTGGGCTCTTGACCTCCAGTTGGACTTGTGGGAGGCATTGTTATGGGCTCTGGTCTTCAGCTAGACTCATGCTGTGGGATGAGACATTACTGTGGGATCCAGGCCATTGGCTGAATATTTTGGGTCATTCCTGTTGTGGATAGATTTCCTGCACTCCAGGAAATTTATTTAACTCCAAGTGACCATCATAAAATAATATAAATTCTGTGTCCTGTATGTAATTGTTCTTGCAACCTTTGACTATAACACAAGTTAGAGGAGGAAAGGTTTACTTAATTTATTGTTCATAGAATTTCAGTTGATAGTCAGATGGCTCTAAGGGAGGCATCACAGAGGGGAACAGTTCACAGAAAAGCAGTGCAGGCCATAGTCAGCAAGTAAGTTACAACATGCCCTGTCAAGTTATAGTGCAAGCCACGTCCGTGTGTTTAAAGTTGAGATATGCTGCCATCCATTTAAGGTGAAAAGGACAGATCCAGACCCTGGATTTACAGGCATATTGTCTTTTAAGACCTTTAGGATTTTTTAAAAGCATTTTCTGGAAGGGGAAAAGGCTTGAATCTTTTAACATGTATCTATAATTTTAAAATCTCAATTTCCTTGTCTCTTTTTTTGTTTTTCTTTTTACAATCCTACATCAGTAGTACCCTATAGAAAAAGATGGTCCATTGGGTTAAGTTGGAGTCAGGGTGAAGGCTGGGGATTTAGTTCAGTGGCACAAGCGCCTGCCTGGCAAGTGTGAGGTCATGAAATTGATCCCTGTACAAAAAAGAAAAAAAAAAAAAAAGTTGGAGTCAGGGTGTATGAGCGTGGGCAGGCATATCTCCAAGGCAGAGCTGAGCCCATGTGGAGGTAGGAGGGTGGATGAGGGTGCAACCAGTTGGCGGTATATGGGTGAGTGAGTGACCTGGCAGGACATAGCCAGTCTGTGGGGGTTAGGGGAAGGAGATACGAGTGCCTATTACATCAAAGGTTCAAGGTTTGGAGGGCTTGCAGGCAGTCTGGATATATAGAGGTGGGGGAACAGTGTGGAGAGTGGCGGCTTATGAAGCCCAGCCTTTTTCTCCCAACATTGAGGATGCAAAGAGCAGGATGTTTATCTCTACTATTAAGTCAGAAATTTGTGGAGGGTATAGATTCTCTACCCCCAATGGACTAGAAGCCCTTGATAGTGTGATTCTCTTATCAAATATTTATCTTCCCCAACAGACTTGAGACAAGTGCCCCAAGTGTGGGAGATCTGCCAGTCAGACACAGATTCCAACACAAAACTTTATTGTCAGTACAAATGCCTGGTCTTGCCAAGCCGTGCTCAGGGTACAGGAAGACATAGTAGCTGCCTGTGCATGTACAAGCCCCTTGGCTCCCATCCTGCTTTCTCAGAGGCTGATCTTGTGTTTGCTCACTGCCGTGTTTGTTACAGACTCATAAACCTGCAAACCAAGAGGTCTTGTCATTCCCCCTCCCTGACATGACACTCTCTTCTTCCCTTCAGCCTCACATTTCTCCAGGATGGAGCTGGGGCAAGGTAGGCCTGCACCATCCCGACTTTCCAGAGGTCTAACTTAGTTTGTTGGGGAGCAGGAAGCCCATACACTCCCAAGGTTTCAGGACTTTCTATCCCGGTGGGATGGGGAGTGTGGGAGAGAGAGGGAAGGACTAAGTGAGATGAATGTGTGCCTGTTCCATCTAGAAGCTTCCTTTCTTAGGAGGCTGCTGTTCTTATGTACCCTAGATGGGATCCAGGTGTCTTTTTGTCCATGGTGGAGCTAAGCATCTGGCTCTAGGGAGGAGCTGAGCTGGCTCAAGCCACACTAAGAGGGAGTGGGTTTATTAGAGAAAGGAAACTGAGTCATAAGGTGAAGCCTGATGCCAGTGTGTAAGGCCTCTGAGAAGGGAAGTGTGAGACCTAACTCCAGGGATGGGAGTTGAGGGGACAGACAGATCTTGGAACAGACATTGACCTTGACTAGTAGACCTGGGGCTGGGTTGGATGTTGGGGTGAGTGTTGGTTAGATACAAGAAAGAAAGCACACCTTTGCTCTGCTAACCAGCGCACTGAACAAATCTTGCTTTTTAGCTATGTTCTGGAGGTCTATAGAAGACCCGCTTTCCATCAAGGTCATCGACAAGGGCCTATGCATCAGCTCTTCCACTTGCTCCTGGTTGAAGGGGATGGCGCGTACCTTCTGCACGATGCTTGGGAAGAGAGAGGAGTATGTTCCAGGAGTATGTAGCCCTTCCACCTCTTCCCTGGTGCATATGCACCCCTCCCGCCTCCCCAGCCCTGGTGAATATCCAGGCGGAACTGTGCCCTCCTGTGAGATGGAGGGAACACACAGGTCAAGATTCCAGCTCCTCCATCTATAAGGCTGAGGGTCCCTAGGCATGTTATTCAACCTCTCTGGGGTCTAGGATCTGCATTAGAAAATAGGATGAGAAGAATCTGAGACTGCATTGTTCCCTGACTCCCAGGACTCAGAGTACCCCCAATACACCCCCTACTTGTCAAGCTCCTCTCTGATCTTCTTGTACTGCGTCAAGTTCTCCTCTATTGCTTCAAGCACCAAGCAGAAACCATCAAGCATGTTTTCTGAGAGGTTTGACATGGGGCTCCCCACAAGAGGTTCCTGGTAGGGACCAGTTTTCTCCACGCGAACAAGTGCACAGTGCAGGAGTGGCAGCTCGTGACTCCAGTCTTCCTTCTCAGTACCTGCCTGCAGGGGAGAATGGGAGAGGGATGAGACTCAGCCTGGAACTCGCCAGCCCCATAGAGAAGTCTGTGGGATTGGACAGTAGGACTCTAATAACCCAATCTCTGTCTCTCTCTCTCTCTCTCTCTCTCTCTCTCTCTCTCTCTCTCTCTCCCTCTCCCTCTCTCTCTCTCTCTCTCTCCTCTGTAATTCAGGACCTCCAGCATGCTTGGTCTCTACCACTGAGCTGGATTCCCAGCACTTAGTTCCAGCCAATCTAATCCTTCCTCCTTGCTATAAGAGCTCAAGTTCAAATGCATACACCCATTCCCCCTCCTCTTTGAAAGTTGTCTTCTATTCCATTCCATTTCTTTTTTCTTTTTTCTAATCAGTACCAGGGATCGAACTCACGACCACATGCTTGCAAAGCAGGCGCTTATGCTGCTGAGCTAAATCCCCAGCCCTATTGCATCCCAGATAAGTCCTACCCAGCAAACTTGTAAAACTCTACCTACTCTCCATCATGGCTCCCAACCCCACCACATAACTTTTTTGGTTTGGTTTGGTTTCTTGAAACAGAGTTTTGCTATGTATTTAAGGCTGGGCTTGAACTCATGACAGTACTTCTTCCTCAGCCTCCTGAGTGCTGGGACACAGGTACATGCCACCATGCCCAGCACTCCATCTCACTTTTCAGTTTTGAAACTGCGTCTCCCTAAGTCCCCAAGTTGCCCAGGTAGGGCTCAAATTTGCAATCTCCCTGCTTCAGCCTCCAAGAGTGCTGCTGCAGCACTTCTGTAAGTATTGTACTCCACTTCCTTTTCCAACCTTATGGATTTCTATTCTTGAATGAGTAAGCTGGAGCTGCCATTTATTGAGTGCTTACTATGTGCCCAGCGCTGTTCATTGACCCGCATAATCTTTATTACAGCTATGTGAGTAGTAATACTAGTCCCATATTACAGAATAAGAAATTGATTAAATGTCTCAGGCCACCCAACTGCTTAGTTTTGAATTACTATAGAAATATAACATCTTGGGGCTGGGGGTTTAGCTCAGTGGCATAAGCGCCTGCCTTGCAAGTACGCAGTCATGAGTTTGATCCCCGGTACAACATATATATGAAATCCATACCCCTCACCCCAACATGTAAGTGGCACTTCAAATGGGGGTTCCTGTCTCCATGTCCTGGACTTGGCTTTCTCCAGGCTCTTGAGTGTGCAAAAACACATACACACTGACATCTACTCAAGTCATCACACACACCCCTCCCTCTCCCTCCTGCCCTCCCTATCCCACAAACCTCACTGAAGTTTTTTTGATGCTGTTTCTCCATCTTCTCTGTCATGATTTGTTCTAGATTCCTGATCACCACAGTAACAAGCAGGTTCATGCCAATGATGCCACCGATGATGATGAAGATGGCAAAGTAGATGGCTCCCCCGGTCTCCAGGGCATAGTCCCTCTGATTCCTCCTGGAGATGGCAGACAGGGGCCCTGTGACTTCCCTGGCCCTTTGAGCCTTAGTTTCCTCATCTGTTAAGTGGGGGAAACTACTGGCAATTCTGCCTGCTTTTTAGCTATTACAGGGACCTGGTGGGCACAGCACCAGCTCTTATTGCCAACCTGCTTTGTTGCCACACAGGTTCCAGCTCTGAAACCAGCCCTACAAGGTGACTGGTGGATCACCACTACTGAGTTCAATCTATTAGCCATTAATATTATTATTTTGGGTACTGGGACTTGAACTCATGACCTTGTACTTGCCAGGCAGGCATTTATGCCACTGAGCTAAATCCCCAGCCCCTAGCCATAATATTTTAAAAGTGGTACTGGGGATTGAACCAGGGGCCTTGTGTAAAGCCAGGGATTTACACCTCCAGACCAATTTGCTATATCTTTTTTTCCCCTGAGACAGGGTCTCAGTATGTAGTACCAACTGGCCTTGAATTCATTATCTTTTCTCAGGCTCCCAAGTGCTGAGATTACACTGCCCCTGCCTCCCATTAGCTATATTCTTATTCAGTTTTTTGTTTTCTGACACAGGTTCTCACTAAGATTTCAGGCTGGCCTTAACTCATTGAATTTCGCTACTGTAGCCCCAGCTGGCCTCAAACTCACTGGGATCCTCCTACCTTGGCCTCCCAAATGCTTGAACTACAGGCATTTGCTACCATACGTGGCTTTTCCCCCCTCATTACAAAAAAAAAAAATTGGAATTCATGATAGAAAGATTGGGAGGAAACATGGAGTATGATAAAAATATAATAAATGTTTAATTCTTAAAATTACAATAAAAGACACATTGCAATTAATCTCCTTCAAAATATAGGTACTTCCCTTCATTTGGAACACACTTATCCTATCATTCTGGCCACCTTTTGAAGCAGTTCTAGAACTCTTCTTTTGCGTCTTTTGTGATTAAAAAGTACAGTGGGAGAGAAACAAACAAAAAAAAAGTACAGTGAATGCTGATGCCAAATGCCATCAAACAGAAAGACTTGTGAAAACATTACAGTGTATTTTCATCCACCTTACTCACCAGATCTGGCACTGCGATTTCAGGTTTTTTCCCAAAGTCAAGATGACCATGAAAGGTAAGCATATTTATTTATTATGTATATATATTTACCAGGAATTGAACTCAGGACCTTACACTTTCCAGGTAGGCACTTACCACTGAGCTTTTTCCCTGGCCCAAGATAAGCATTTTTAACAGATTCGAGACATTGAGGTAGCTATGACAGCACAACTAAAGACATTCATGAAAGAAGACTGAGGACTGCTTTAGAAAGTGGTAAAAAATCAGGCATGGTAGTGCACACCTGTCAACTCAGCACTTGGGAGGCTGATGCAGGAGAATTGCTGTAATTTTGAGGCCAATCTGGGCTACCTAGTGAGTTCAAGTCCAGCCTGAACTATACAGTGAGACCCTGTCTTGAAAACAAAAACAGCAAAAGTGGTAAAAATGATAGAATAAATGTGTTCAAAGTGAGGGGGAGTATCTTGACTCGGATTAATGGCAATGTATCTCTTACTGTAATAATTTTAAAAACTGTTAATAGTTATTGAAATAATTTTTTAAAAATGTAAACGTTGATTGCTTTTTGGTCATACCTTATATACAGACTTAAATTCTCATCTTGTGAGTTACCTGCTGTTCATATTTTGTTATAAATCTCCCAAAAATATTTTTTCATACCAGTTCTGGTAGTGCCCACCTGTAGTCTCATAGTCTGAGAGTCTAAGGCAAGAGGATTAAAAGTTTCAGCCAAGCCCAAGCAACTTAATAAGACCCAGCCTCAAAATTTAAAAATTTTATTAAAGGGCTGGAATGTAGCTCAGTGTGAAGGCACTAGGCTCAGTCTCTAGTATTGCAAAAAAAAAAAAAAAAAAAACAAAAAAACAACCAAATAAATAGTTCTCTTCACAATGTAGTTCTCGAAGCTAGGCATGGTGACACACCAAGCCTACCAAGTGCTGGAATTATAGGTATACACTACCACATCCAATCTGGAATAGTAATCCCCAGTTTACAGTGGAGGAAACGGAGTTTCAGGAGAACAATGAAGTAACTTACCCAAATTCATATGACTAATGTGGTAGAACAAAAAAAATTACCCCAGTGTAATTTTTTATTAGTATACTTATTATGCACATACTAAATCCACTTTACTAAGTTCACATTGGGAAATTGGTACATATGTCTTGATCAGTTTTGATCCCTTTGCATCCCCTCCTTGAGGTAAGAAGTAGCTAAAAAAAAGGTTGAAGAAAGAAGAGAGGACCAGCCCACTTTGCAGGCTGGTGTTTGAGGCCTAAGATAACAAAAGATGTAGTTGGAAAAAGAAGGAAGGGCCCCCCTTGGGTACCCATTTTCTGGGACTAGATTCAACTTCTGAACTATACATTAGCCCAGGACTGGGATGCCCAGATCTAAATACAATGGGAGAAAGTAACCAAGTAGAGCTTAGCTTATAAACAGTAAGGCCCGAGTACATGCCTGATGCTCTTCTGCAACCCTTGGCTGACCCTACATGCCATATTGACCTCTGTGGGCTTTGGATTCTGTGATGGTTCCTGTAAGGATCAAAAACCCCACTAACCTGATGATGGGGGTACATCAAACTGCTAATTTACGGAGTCATACTTCAAACCAAACTCTCAGTCTCACCCCAAACCCTAAGAATTAAAACCCTCAAAATCAAATTCCCTTGGCACTGCAAGCTCTTATTACTGGCCCACTCCCATTCTGAATCTTGTGTTTTCTTTTCCAAATAAATCACTGATCTTGCTCCTCCTCTTGGGTCCTGCTCAGTTCTTTATTTGGGCTTCAAAGAACTTGGATAAAATCCCAATCTTCTGTAATCCCAGCACTTGGGAGATTGAGGCTGGAGGATCTTGGCAAGTTCAAGACCAGCGTGGGCTACAAAGTGAGCCTCAAGGCCAGCCTCAACTGCGTAGTAAAACCTTATCTCAGACAAAAAACAAAGCACAACTCCAACCTTATAAAACCCCAGTATAGTTTTAGAAACAGTTGGTGATTCTTTTCTATGACCTATATCCTCATGAATACTGACCACAGAAACCTTTAGCTATGGGATTCTACCCTTATGAAAGGGACCAAAAAAGAAAACCTGTCAGGGATCTACTGCCTGTAGTGAAATAGAAAGAAATCTGGCTAAGATGGGCCTGTGAAGAGACAACAGAACAGAATAGAACAGAGACGTGACCTTGCTGATCATTCTGAGCAAGTCTGAGGTGAGCCTGAAGCTCCGGGGGGTCCAGGGAGCAGCTCAGCTCTTCTGGAGTTGCAGATTGCTCTGACCTTGGGTATCACCACAGACCTGCTCTTCAGCCAACATCTAGCCACCTAGCTGTTTAGCATGATTGGACACTGCTCCATGGACAGGGTCAGGTGGCATTTTGAATGCATGAAATTTCTATGGGGGCCAAGGATTTCAGTACCACAGGTCACAAGCCCAGACCCTCACTACAAAGACTTCTCCCCAGTTTAAAACTTGGATACTCTCTTCCTGCCAGGCCCACCTCTTCCCTCTGGGGCCCATATGTACCTTGACAGCATCCTATGCCCAGCCTCCCGCCTGTATAATTCTGCCTCTTTGGTAGGAGGAGGCCTGCAGCCCAGGACACTCACCGGAAGTCGCTGTAGATGTCCACCCATCCATCCTGTGTGAGGCAGACGAAGAGAGTGTACAAGGCCACCCCCAGGTTCCCAAAATGGATAGGCACGAACTCACCAAAGAGTGTGACCCCAAGCAGTGCGAAAACCTGCCAGAAAGCAAAGCCCCATGCTAGCTTCACTCAGAGCACTTGGAGCCAGAACACAAAAGTAAATAGGAGGAAAATAAGTGTTGCCAAGGGAAACGCAGAGCTTTGTACTTATAAACCTTTCTTCTCCAGGGACCCTTCTTTCCCCAAGGCCCCAGGAGTTCTACTCAGAGAGCAGGAGTGGCACTGACCAGCATGACAAAGAGGATGAGGACCCCGATCTGGGCCATGCCGGGGCCCGCCTGCAGGATGACACGGATGATCCGGGCCAGGGGCTCCACCGCCATGCACACATGCACCAGCCGAAGAACCCTGAGAAAACTCTCTTAGCCCCTCAGCCCTACCCCTCCACTGCCCTCCACCAACTTTCCAGGGAGGCAGAGCTGAACCCAAGCTGGGAACAGCCATCCCTTCCAGTTCTTGGGATACAGTCAGGTCACCCTCTTTTCCAGATCTCTTATCTTACCTGAGACAGTATGTGATAGAGACGTTGACCACTTTCAGGACCCCCAAAGTCAACATGCAGACAATGAAGAAGTTGAGGATGTTCCATCCGTCCTGAGGATAGGCCAGCCCCAGTTGGGCCAGTCAGGTCCAGTCATGGGGTGCCCAAGTTTGCTCTCTCAAACCCCAAGGCGAGGGCTCAGTGTTCTCACAGCAGGACAGTGACCTGCTGTCTACGGCTGTCATGCTGTCATCCCCACACATGCCTCAGAACACACATGCACTCTGTCCTGCACATGTATTGACAACCATGGCGACCTCAGGAACTCCCGTGGAGACCTTGCCTCACCCCCACACAGATGTCCCTGAGCTGAGGCCGCCTGGGCCAGTCACCTGCAGACAGTAGCCTTGCCTGATAATGAAGTGACCTGAGATGTGTGTGTGCTCCTGTCTCTATGGAGCATGCTCCAATGAATAAAACAAAAGTAAATACTAGTGAAGATATCAAGGAATGCTGCTTCAGTAGCAAGGCAAAAGTGAAATCATACAGCACAAGGAAGGGAAAGAGGCCAGTCTTTAGTTTGTTTAGTGAGGTGTTTCTGTACAGGACAGGGTTTAGGGAAGAAGCTTATCTGTATGAATGATTTGACCAATGATTGGACCCAGTGGTATGAGTACAAAATGACATATATGCAAGGTTGAAAACAACCAGAGGACCCAGACATCAAAGACTGCTTGAATAAACTGCTACAGTACCTTCATTTTATGGAGCACTATATAATCATTAAAAAAGATCAGTGAAAAAAAATCTCCTACTGCTAACACACAAAGATCCAGTCAGCAACAAGAGCAAAAGATTCTGCTGTCAGGAAAGTGGGACTAAGCATATGTATCTGTTTGCTTATGATTATCAAATAACTACTGGCATGTGGAGTCAACAAGAGACTTTGAATAGAAAAAGTTTACCCAGAAAGGAGTTGTGGGAAACGGATGAGGGGACTGGAATGGAACAAGAATTCTGTGTAAGTTTTCTAATATAGTTTTAATTTTCAATATATATCTTCATTAAATATTCAAAACGAATATTTATTTTAATGGGAAAAATTTTCTTAAATTTTGTGGGCAACTCAGTAAACACAAGTTATCCTGGCCTCTTAAATTCCATCCGTGCCTTCAAGTACACAACATCTGTTTGTCTACTTTGTGAAATGTGAAAATTATAGGAAATTCAAAGTTCAGTGCCCATAAATAAAATTTTATTGAAATAGAGCTGGATATGGTGGTACATACCTATAGTTCCAGCTAATTTAGAGGCTGAAGCAGGAGGGCCACTTGAGCCCATGAATTTGGGGCCAACTGAGCAACATGGTCAGATCCGATCTCAACGAAACACAACAAAACACCAAAGAACTATTTTCACCCAAAAATTTGGAATGCAGCCATGTTTTAGCACGTGTGTGATATGTGACCCACTTTTGTGCCCTTGTGGAGGTGGGTCAATTGAAAAAGAGAATGTAAAGCCTGCCACGCATCGTGTTGATTCTCTGGTAGACTGCAGAAGAAGTTTGTTGACTGCTGCTCCAGACCCCTATCAGCCCGATTTCTCAGCTACAGAAATCAGGGTTCACCTCCCTGCAGACCTGGGGACTGGGAGCAGATTTGGAACTAGAATCCATTTTTGCACAGACATGTCAGAAATTCTGTTGCCTCTTTTTTTCATACTCTCTCATTCCCCCACCTCACATACAGACAGCTCTCAGGGTCGTTAACCCTCAGGGAGAGTTAGGCCAATGTTAGAGAGATCCCAGGATCATACCTTCCAGAAAATCCAGAAGTCACTGAGCCAGTGGAGGAGAACCTCACAGATGAGGGTGGTCAGCACAATGTTGTCTATGACTGAGAACAATTCATAGTGTTTCTAAGCAGGAGGCGGATGGAGAGAGGTGTGGGGCATCAGTGAGTAGGACCTGGGCAGACAGGGACAGGTTGTCTGCAGGGAAGGGAGGCCTGTGTCCCTGTGGCTACTCCTCCCAGCATCTCTGTTACCTGCTTTGGAGTACAAGTTCCCTGTAACCCCAGGCCCTGTGCTGAGGCCATCCATGCATTGCTTCATGTGACTGTGGATATTGTCCTGCACAGCAGGTCCTGAATGTGCATAGTGGCACATGCCTGTAAAATCACGGCACTCAGGAGCCTGAGGCGGGAGGATTGCTATCAGTTCAAGGCCAACCTGAGCTACATAGTGAGTTCAAGTTTAGCCTGATCTCCAAGACAAGACAAGACAAGACAAGAGCAGATCCTACTCCTATCTTCCAGACAGGGACTAAAGAGGAGTCCAATACTCAGAAAAGATTCCTATTGATTGAAGATTCCTATTCCAATGGCCAGAAAAGATTCCTATTTATTGAAGACTTTTGCTCCCATTTCCGCCAGCTTCTAGGGCAGGAGGATCCGGGGAAGTGAAGCAGAGGGGGCTGAGCAAGCCCAGCCATGGGAGGAAGAAGCTTCAACCCTGAGACCAGGGGACATCAAGCCACAGACCCCTTCTCTGTGTGCCCCAACCACTCCTGCTGCTCCAGCACCCCGAGTCCGCTAGCTCAGGCCTGACTCAGCTCCTGATGCCCTCCTCGTACTGGCCTGGAACAGGTATCCTAGGTAGATGACTACTAGCATCTGTCTAAACCCTATTCACTTCTGCCTTGCCTCACTTCGGCTTCCTTAGAGCTGTGACCTTTACTGACAGCCTGCTACCTTCCCCACATGGTTTCAACCTAGTGTCACCAAAGTCACTTTGTCTCCTCCCATGTGGTATTTTGATTGCTTTCTTTTCTTTCTTTCTTTCTTTCTTTCTTTCTTTCTTTCTTTCTTTCTTTCTTTCTTTCTTTCTTTCTTTCGTGGTGGTACTAGTAATCGAACCAAGAGGCACTATTCCTCTGAGCTAACATCTTCAACCCTTTTAATTTTTATTTTGAGACAGACTCTTGTTAAATTTCTCAGGCTTCACTTGAGCTTGCAGTCCTCATGCCTCAGTCCCCCGAAGTGCTGGGATCACAGGGGAATGCCACCAGACCTGGTTCATCTACCCCCTTTATTCCAGTGGTCAGAGTTGGTCCTTTGGGTCTCATTACTGCAGAAGGGACTTCCCTGCTGCTTGTGTCTACCCCTACCCACATTTGATGTCAGGCTGCTTAGAGCTTCTATTTATATGTGGGTTAAGTTGTACAGGCTTTCTGATTTTTTCAAATTCCCAAAGCACTGTTAGGGACTGTGGCTATGAGCCCAGAGAAAGAACTTCTTGCCACGTGTTATGGTATAGGCCTGCGATCCACCAGCAGCCAGGAGGCTGAGGCAGGAGAATTGCAAGCTCAAGCCCAGCTTAAATTATATAGTGAGACCTTGTCTACAAAACAAAACAAAACAAAGCACAAAGCTGGCATCTTTACTCTGGATTGATTTCATAGCCCATCACAACATCTGCTCTGTACCCCTCTGTCCACTCTGCTCATTCTTCAAATTTGGCAGGTATGTTTCTGCCTCCATACAAAACTGACTGACTTCCCGGCAGCCCAGTGAAGCAAATCTAGGGTCCTCAGCAGCATCTCACCACATCTGGCACTGCTGCTTGGGGGTCTTTCCTGGGCTGCCCCATCACCATGGGCCCCTGGCCACTTCTCTTCAGTCTCTTTTTCTGCCTCTACCTCCCTCCTTGCCCCCTCTAAAAAGGGTTTCCTTGGATCTGTCTTGGTCCTCTTCTCTCTCCTCAGCTCCTCACAGGCCACTTGCCCCACAGGCCTCCTCAGCCTGGGCACAGGACTGTAGAAAATCTCACGTGCCCCATCTTCAGCTGGTGCCTTCCACCTCCTTTCAGACCTGACCTTGGAATCCCTAGACTCCTGCACCCTCTGCAGACCTGCCTTTCCTCCTGTGTGCCCCACACCCACTTCATCCTGACACAGCACCAGCTCCACCACTACTCAGTCAAGAACTTTCTTTCTTGCTGTCCCTTTGTCTGCATGAGGCCTGAGATGTGGACCCATGTTGCTGACACAAGGCGGCACAGAGTCTGTGCTCCCTAAATGTAAGCTAGGAATCTGATCAATCAGAAAGGCTCAGGGATTCAACTCTGGAGAGCTGCCTGTGCTTCTGACCTCCTTGTCCACCGCCATGCTCCTGCGTCAAGACCCAGCCTCCGTCACACACACATCTCAGCAGTGCTCCATCTTTTCCGTTCTCGGCCCCTCCCTCTAGAGTTCACACTGCGGCAGCCACTGGAAATTTTCTAAAATAAGAGTTTGTGTATTACAGTTTAATGCTTTAAACCTCTGGATTTCTGATGACAAAGGAGAAAGGTCGTCTTTCTTGACTAATAGACCCAGTGTGATCTGGCCACTGACTATCTATCTGAGCTTATCTGCCACTACCACACTGAACATACTTCTGCGGTAAGGGTTCAAACACAGGGTTGCGCACATGCTAGGCAGGCACTCTACTGTCAACCTATATTCCCATGCTGACATACTGATTTGATTTGATTTATTTGATTTGTTTTTGAGAACCCACTATGCAGTTCAGGCTGGGCTTCAAGTCACTTTGTAGCCCAGGCTGGCCTTGAACTTGAAGTAATCTTCCTCCTCAGCCTCCCACGTGCTTGGATTACAGGTGTGTACTACCATGCCTAGTTGGCATATTAATTTTAAATCACACAATACCTGCATGAATACTCTTTATAAGAAATTAAAACATGAGTAAGATCAAAGTCACTGGACTTTGAATTGGACTCGCAGAACTCTTTCACATGCTGTTTCTATGGTCCAAAACACTTCTCCCTCTTCACTGTCTCACTTTGTGTGGTGAACTCTGACTCATTCTTTTTTAAGGTAAGGTCTTACTTTGTAGCCCAGGCTGACTTGAACTCAGCATCCTCTCCTCAGGCTCCTGAGTGCTGGCTTACATGCATGCACCACACACCTAGTTTCCTGCTAATTCTTTACTCTCAGTTTAAGTGTCATCCTCACCAAGAAGCCTTCCCTGACCCCTCAGGTTAGGTTTTATTGTCATTATTGAGCTCCACACACTCTGATACTCAGGCACTAGTACTAGTATGTCTGCATCTGTAGTTCTTTTCCTGGATCCTTGCCAACAAGCAGAGTCAGCACTTGGCCGGAGTGACTCTCCTTTAGCGACTGTGATTATTACTGGCCATTAGTCCCCACAAAGTGCCCATTTGTCTGTCTATTTCCCATGACTCTTTCCTTGTCCCTCTACAGATCCAATGCTTTCTTTATTTTGGGCTCCAGAATCTCCTGCATCACAAAGTCTTCCTGACCTGCACATTCTCAGAAGATCAGACTGGACAGACCCTTGATGACCAACTATCATAGTATGGGGAGCCCACAGGGGAAGCGCCTGCCCCCAGCCCCCATCCAAGCCAAGGGAGCAGAGGTTGGGCTTCACCTGGTCAAGGAAGGAGTTGGTGCGGAGAGCAATGGTGATGGCATTGGTCACCAGCAGAAAGGCCAGCAGCAGCTGGAAGGCAGGATGTTGCAGCATATATTGGATGGACATGCGAATGAACTCTTGCTTCTCCCAGGCATCCTGGGAGAGAGGGTAGAGACCTTCCTTCAGGCAAGTGTCACCACAGTGGCCTGGACTTTTGCTTTCAGTGAGCCATGGGGAAGGGGTTTCCTGAGAGTCTGTTCTAGAAGGGGAGTGGCTGGAGATCATGGAGTGTAGGATGTGTATGGAGGGTTGCTGCGGATCCCACCCCCAGCCATCCCCACCTTTTTGTTTATGACGTCCTGGCGGTTGATGAGCACTTGCTCCTGCGGCTGGCTGAAGCGACGTTGCATAGTGCTCTGCATGAAAGAAGAGCAGTCCTCAGTGAAACACTGGCCCTGTCCACTCCCAGGTGACAGCTCTGTGGGGAGCCAGTCAACAGCCACCACCAGGATGCTCAAATATTTGACTTGCCTGAGTCTGTGCCTTGCTACCACCAGGCCACAGTTACTCTTTCTCCTCCTCTTAAAAGAAACTTTGCTCCAGGGGTCTTGGCCCCTCAACACAGTGAGATCACAGAGGTGGCCGTGACTTCCAGCTTTCTGTGTTCTATCCAGGCATTCTGTCCTAGGAGCCCCTCTCATTGGTCCCTCTGCACCAACACAGAAGACCTCAGGGACAGCTTTCAAGGTGAGGATGCTGGGCTGGGCTCTGACTGAGGGCAGAGGCTAATAGGAGAGCTCAGGTCTCCTGGGTACCCGGGATAGAGTCAAAGGATATGGTCCTGCTCTGGATCTAGAAGCTGGAGGTGAGGCTGGATGGAGAGGGGAAGAGAGAGAAGGAAAGGGGAGGGGAAGAGAGGGGATGGGAGAGCAAAGAAGATGAGGAAAGGAGCATTGAGAAGAGGAGAGGAGGGGCAGCTGTGCATCGACCTGTGGTGAGTCAGAGAAACTGGGACTCTTCCACGATCTAGGAGGCTCCAATAGAGGACATTCTGGGACCGGGCAGACTTGCCGGAAAAGGGTGCTGCGGTGACTTCAGTCACATATTCCCCTCTCAAGCGGGACTGGTGAGCAGTGCCTAGCTTATGTGACGCTGCTGGCTGAGACCCAGTAGGCTAGCACAACCCAGGTCCCAGCGCCTGAAGGTGACCTGGAGGGGTGGACCCGTATAGGCTGCCTGGTCCATAACTCTCTGGTGCGCTGCCGTGGGTGGGAACACCTAGCCAGCACAATTCAATCAGACTGTGGCCAACAGGGAAGGAAGCTGGGCCTCCTATATACGCTTGCATATATAAGGAACAAAAAATATGGGAAGAGGGAGCAACAAGAAAGGCCCCTCAGCCCCCAATCCTGAGAAACAGGCAATAGCAGACACCGCACCAATAGACATAAAGCACTATCTCCAGAGCCTCATAGACGAGTTCAGGAATGAAGTTATTAATAACCTGAAGCTAGAAATAAGCAGAATAGTTAGAGAAATGCTAAGCACCACCCAAGAAAAAACAGATGGTGGAATGGAAGAACAGAAAAAGAGGGGAGAATTGTTTGATGGAGAAAATAGAGAAAGCATAGAATACGTGAAGCAGGTTCAAAGAGACTACCAGGAAACTAAACACTCTATCAAAAACTGGCATAACAGCTTGAAAGAAACTAAGGACAGAATATCTGAACTGGAGGGCAGATTTGTAATATGGGAAAATGAAATGAAAAACTTCTTAAAAATAACAAAGAAACAAACAGCAATAATACAAAGACTAAAAGATGATAAGAGGATCCATAACTTAAGGATTAAGAACATAAAAGAAGAAGTAGGGACACAAACAAATGAACTACAAAAGCTACTCACAGAAATAATCCAGGAGAATTTTCCTAATTTAGCAAAAGGTAAAGATACTCAGTTGTATGAAGCATACAGGACCCCAGCCACCTACAACCCAAACAGAGCAACACCCACGCATATAATAATTAAAATTCCAGAAATCCAATACAAGAACAGAATATTAAAAGCCGTCAGAGACAAGAAACTGATCACTTACAAGGGAACACCCATCAGAATTACAGCAGATTTCTCGGCACAAACCATCAAATCATGAAGAGCGTGGAGGGAAATAATTCAAGCTTTGAAAGATAATAATCTCCAGCCAAGATTGATATATCCTGCACAACTATCCCTGGAAATTGATGGAAAAACAAGGTGCTTCCAGGATAAAGAGGAACTAGGGGAATATGCAACCACCAATTCAACTCTACAGAGAATACTGCAGGATATTCTAAAAAAGAAAAATACAAAGAATCCAGAAATAGTGGCAGGGAGGCCTCAATGAATGGACCAGAAAACAAAATGAAGAAGACAAACTGACAGCTAATGACAGAAAAAGAGCTCAACAGAAATGAGGCAGAGAAGATTGGATGATAGGAACAGCTATGTTGGAGAAAATGACGTCTTAATAGGTAATACTGATTTAGTATCATCTTGTTTTGAAGCTTTTGTTCTTCTGTCTCCATTGGTCTAAACAGGTTGTATCTTACTGGATTTTAATATACATGATAGTATAAGCAAAAACTTTTATAGACAAAGAGATTATACAGAAACCATTGTTCATTTTCTGCTAGTTGATTCTAAATACCCTGTAATACTGTCATTCTCTTAAATGGTTTTACATTGTTTTGATATATTTGATGCTACAGTATATGAAGTTATACTCAAAGATTTCAAGGAAAGAGACAATATGGTAGCTACTTTTATGTTGGGATTATCTTGTGGTGAAACACTATTTTGCTTAAATGGTTATGTTTTGATCTGTGCTGTTTTGCTGTTATGCCCTCTTTTATCTCAATCTCCATTTTATTATTTACTTTTTTATTTTTATCCTTTTAATTAAGGGAAAAAGAAATAAAAAATAGCAGGATATACTATAGTAACCCACTTTGACTCTCCATTATCTTGATTTAAAGCCCTGTATTGCTCTCACCATCTTGTTTTGACTGATGTCCCTCTATTCTGTTGTGCTTGAAAGTACCAGGTTTGAAAGTTTAGGCAACAGCTGTGAAGATAGTGGGATTCATTATGACGCCCATTCTCGTTGACTATTATCTACTTTTGAAGACCTATAATGTCTCCAATGTTTTGATTTTGCCAGTTTTGTTCTTTACTGTTTTGTTCAATTTTATTATAACTGATGATATAGGCAATTCTATTAGAGATAGCGGGAGGCATTCTGGTAACCATTGTTGATCACCTTGTATTATGCTTTTACATTATCTATTATGTCCACCCTTTTGATTTGACTGACTCTGTTCTGTTATGTCACATTTGGTTCTACTCTCTTCCAAAAAAGTAATAAGAACTGTGGGAACAACAAAACCCAAAATGAGTAATTGTCATTGTACAAAAGAGAGGAAAAGAAAGTGCTCTAAACGATATAACTGCATGTATATTTAAGTGTGTAAGATAGATAATGATATTACTGAGTTTTGTTGGATCATTGAACAAAACTGTTTACAGTCTCACTGTTGGAATGTCCACTTTATAAGCTTTAATTTTGTAACTTGAACAATTATTTCTAAGATGACAATATGTAATCCATTATCTAGTGATTTCCTACTGTTTATTTTTTTTTCTGTAAATCTGTATAACTTGTACCCTTTCTCTGCTTTTTTTCTTTTTCTCCTTAAATAAAATTTTAAAAAAAGAGAGAGAGAAGAGGAGAGGAGTATTAATACTGGGACTTTCCTTATGACACATTGTACCCTTCCCCCACCCCAGGTACTGACCACTGCCCTGCTCAGGTTGTCCTCCTTGCCCTTCTGTGCTAGGCCTGTTCCTCCACCTCCCAAATGAAAATTTCTCACCTGTCCCCCTGAAGATGGGTGGGGAGCATTGCTGGGCTCCACGATGCTGGGGAGGGGTGGATGTGAGCAGGATCCTTCCCAGCCCTGGACCAGAGCCCATCACCCTGGCAGGCAGGAGCCTCAGGTGAACCATGGGCTGCACAGTGGGAACTTGTCACCCACCCTACGACAGAGAAGCACGCAACCCTACAGCTTTCCTTCCCAGTTCTCTCTGCACTCTAAAATAAAGGCGCACATATATTCATTTTTAGAGAAATCTAGTTTATTTGTTGAAAAGTATGTCTGATATGAAATAGACACTTCCTCCAGAGCCCGTAGCTTCTGCAGCTTTATGTGTAAGAGAGCAGGGGTTTAAGAAGCTATGACTGCACCAAGGAGGGTGCAGAGCCTGTGTCCAGAGCTAACTCTGGAGTCCTATAGCTAGACCCCAGCACCTGACCAGCCTGGCACCAGGTACTCAGGTGAGATTTCAAATCTTAGCTGGATGCTAGAACTTGGCCCATTCAGCAGCTGAGCCCAAACCAGAGTCCAAAACCCAGGGCTGAGCCTGCAGTCTGACACCCACTAGAGCTGGGAGCCCAGAGCCGAGTGCCTCACCATGCCCATTTCCCCAGTTGACCTCAAGCGTGCTTGGTAGCACCTGCACGTGGTACACTCACTCACTGAAGTGGGCTCTTACCTGTGCTGAATGGAAGACCACTGCCGCAGTTCATGAGCCAGGACCTGTGACTGGCGCAGAAGGGACACACCACTGTGCCTCAGTCCTCAGACCTTTTCTTCTATTGCCTCTTCACTGCTGTTGGTGGGAACAGGACAAAGCTGTGCCTCCTGTGGCTCCCTGTGCAGAACCCTACTCAGCCTGCTTGGAGGCTGAAGGATGTCCCTTGCTACCTGTGCTATGGTGGCAGTGGAGCACTGAAGACCTGTCACCTTGGAATGCACTTGCAGTCTGAGATGGATTGAAAGAAGAGGAGGTCATGAAGTCTGTGAAGCAACTCACCAACTCTTGCACTAGGAGCTGAGTTTCCTCCTGCTGCTTTGCCTACACAGCCCGCAAGGGGCCTCCTGAGCCCTTGGCCTTGGCTTCTAGAAGCAAATGAAAGGGCCTGGGGCTGAGTGGCTGCCAACAGTGTGAGGTTCTCACCCGGAAGCCAGTTCTGACCTTCTTGTCAGGCAGTTCCCACAACCCTGCTGTCTCCAAAGGGCAGAGCCCTGGGCAGCCTTTCCTACCTGCCATCTCCAAGCTCCTTACAGTCCCCAGTGCCTCCCACTACCCCTTCACCCTACCTCTGCTTTCCACCCTCCCCCCATCTATTTATTCCTTCATTGATCTAGGAAAGTTCTGCCCAAATTTGCTGGGTGACTTAGGGTTTGCAGCTCCTCTCTGTGCCTCTGCCACCACCTCTGAGAGGTCCACAGGGAAGCTGATTTTAGAAACACTAGACTGCAGTTTTCTTGAAGGTTGGGGGCAGGACAGGGCAGCCTGGGGGCTTCCGTTTTCCCAACTAGTGAAAGCAAGAGGTAACATCCTTTCTCTTCCTCACATGTACCCTTCTCTAGGTCTGTATCACAGGGCTGGAACATGCTGCCAGAGACCAAGCCAGCATGGCCCCTCAAGAATGGAGAAGGTGCTACATAACAGGAGCTC